TCATGGCAGATACCAGAGCTGCCAGCCCTTTGAAGACCCCCAGGCTTTTCCATATCACTAAGCCCTTTGAAAATTCCCAGCCCTTTCCTTATCACTAGCCCTTTGAAGACTCTGAGCCTTGCATACTAGCAGGCCATTTCAAACCTCCAGCCCCCATTACCTGTAAACTTCCCATTTGGCACACCCTTCCCAATGTAATCTTTGTCCTTCTACCCAAATGTAAGCAGCTGGCTTATGGTGGGATACAGAGCAGATTTTTGTGGATAACCTACTGCTCTCCCATACTACTGGTAGTTTTGGAATTAACCCTCATTTATGATTCAATCTTATCTCTGCTTACTTGGCTCAAGTAGTAATAGGCAACATGGACCCATTGACTGTCCAGTTATATATATATATATATATATATATATATATATCACATCTTCTTTATCCAATCATCAATGGATATTTTGTTTATTTCCGTGTCTTGGCAACTGTGAATAATGCTTCAGTGAACAAAGGGATGCATATATATTTGCAAATAAATGCAGTTTTATTATTAAAGCAGTCATTTGAATTTTGAGAAACTGATATTTTATATCATTGAGAGCAGTAAACTTAACACAGAATTAAAAACTAATAATAATATAACAGGTCATAAAATTCATCATCTATTCCTGCTTATTTAACACTAGAAGCCTGGTGCACGAAATCTGTGCATGGGTGGGGGGAGTGATCCCTTCAGCCCAGCCTGCACCCTCTTCAATCTGGGACCCCTTGGGAGATGTCTGACTGACATCCCTCTCACAATCCTGGACCACTGGCTCTTCATTGCTCACCTGCCTGCCTGATTTCCCCTAACTGACCCCCTGCTTGCTTGATCACCCCACACAGCCTGCTTGTTCAGTCATTTGGTCATACCTCACTAACCCCCATCCCAGCCTGGTCATAAGCAGCCATCTTGTGAGGGCATGAGGATTAATTTTCATATTACCTCTTTATTATATAGGATATTAATTGGCATGTTTAAAAGATTAAACTTGCTTATATATTCTTGAGAATTTGTGTGAGAAATCAACTACTTGTCTATTAAATCATATTTTATTTTTTATTGAATTTTTAAAATCTACTCAAATAATAACCTAAATAAAATCACATAAATTAAAAATATAATTCACTTAAGAGAAAATTATGCTTTATTAATATGTTGACAATTGATATTTCAAAAGATCACTTTATAAAATAATTCTTTAAATTATTATTTTAAAGTACAAAATCAACTGAAGCATCTTATGCATTTTTTATTATGACAAATTTCATTTTATCTAAAAATTTTAAAGAACATGACTATTAAATAAAATATGGCATATTTATTTACAGCTCTTAGAGAACTTATAGTCTATAATAAAACCAAAATTCTTCATTTCATTATAATATGCTTTTAAGAAAATAAATTTTGCAATTCTATATTTCTAACATAGTAAGGTTTCACTTTAAAGAAAATAACATTAAATTCAGAATGTATTCAATAGAGAGACTTTCTAAGCTTGAGTAAACTAAAGAAATCTAAATTATTAGAGATTAATTCTTAAACTAGAAGAGGCAAAATTGGTTTTGTTCCATGTTTCTTTACATTTTTATGTTAATTCTTTTAATAAATAATATTACTTGTCTAAAGCAGGAAGTACCTTTCTAAATACATCTCTGAAGGCTTGTTTAACTTGCTGGTTCCTCAGAGTATAAATGAAAGGGTTCAACAGAGGAGAAACTGAAGTATGGAGCACAGCTACTCCTTTGCTTAAAGAGGTTCTTTCATTTGCTGATGGCTTCATGTAGATGAATATACAACTCCCATAAGTGATGGTTATAACAATCATGTGAGAAGAGCAGGTAGAAAAGGCTTTTTTCTTTTGGTGAGCGGAAGGGAATTTTAGGATTGTTG